ACAAACATAAAAAATCAACATCATTCCAAATTAAGCGACACAACCTCCATCCACTGGCATTCATATAGTTATATCAAGTAAGCAAATAGCCACATGGTAGGATGCCAAACATAATAAGAAAATTATGTACAAATGGGATGTAAAGCATAACAACTTACATATTTAGCGATGTCCCTCAAACAGCTATAAAATAAAATTAGTAAAATATACATGATCCTATATACAAAATCCTAATGCAACACATAGATCGCTCGATATACGCATAGATTGCTCCAGCGACCAAACCACCGTTCAAGCGTCAGACACAAGAAAGTAACACCGCTCAAGCAACCAAAACATGGATCGAGCGACCAAAACATGGCTCGAGCGCACAATGACCCCCTCCTGGAAGTTTTGCAGACCGTAGATGACCGCTTGAGCGAAGATCACCCTACTCACAGTAGTTTTGCAGACCTGCAAAAGTACTGAGAGAACCTAAAGACCGTTCGAGCGACCAAACCACCGCTCTAGCGAACAAGAAAAGAAACAGGTAGCAATTCTTTTGAAAAATTAACTCCCAGCCTATTCAAGGCACAACCAACAACTTCAAACAACCAAACCCTGATCACGACAAGATAAGAAGGAGCATAAACAATGATAAAGAGTATTGGATCCCAGATCTAAGAACATGAAAGGGTCGGGTCTACCCTAAGTCGTTATACAAAAAAAGGTTCGACATTTGTTCGGTACTGAACTCCTAAACATGTGTCAAAAAATCGACAAACTCCAATTGAATTAGAGGTAGTAATTTAGTATGGCCTAACCAAATGGGTTTGTTCAACCAAACAGTTTCGATCATGGATCAAAAGTTTGGCTCAAACATTCTGAGCAAATAATTATATATTAGTAGTCCAGTTGTGACAACCCCAATATGCATATCATTTTTGCATATTATTAAGAGAATTTGCATGTTTATGTATTTAATTTTGTGTATATCTGTTTAATTATGAAAAATCTGTTAGAATACTTATTTTGAATTAGAAATTGAAGGTCCAAATGAATTTAGAAACAGAAATTGAGATGTTAAATAGGCTAATCGGAACATTTAGAACCATTTGGGAAGTTTAATTAAAATTTGATTTAGACTAAATTAATTAGGATTAACCAATTTAAAATTTTGTAGGATTAATTAGACTTAAGCTTTCTTAATTAGCCTTATCTAATCCTAAGTATATATATGAGCTAAGTAGGCTTACAATCCATTTTATTTCATCTTTGAGCTCAAAAATCAGGTAGAATTAATCTAGAGAATGAGTGAGACCATTTGAGAGAGAGAAAGAGAGAGAGCCAAAGAATTTAAACAATTGCTTGGAGGATTGATGAATTAAGAAGAAGAGGTCAAGTTCTTGCAAGAACAAGCTTAATCGGAGATTCCAGGTATGAAATCCAACCTCAATCTTTGGGCATAACTCACTTAGTAGATGAACTCTTGAAGAATATGAACTTAATTACAAGAAATAAGCCAATTGATGGTGATAATTGACTTAATATGAACATGCGTGCATCATTTCATCATTTTTGAATTTAAATTTTGAAATCTTAGTTTGCATGTAAGTTATATTACATATTTTTCATGAAAATCCATGTATCTCTACTCAATTGTCCATGTTTTGACATTTCGAAAGTGATAATGTTGAATTCCTTACATGCATGGTTGGATTAAGAAGTTTTGTGTTTAATTTTGAAAATTGATAATGATTTTGGGCAAATGGTTTCAAATTGGTTGTGTTCATGTATTTTCCAAAGAGTTTCCGTGTTTTTGGTCCAACCATGCAAGCTTTTGAAACTTAACTTCATATTTTGGAACTCAAAGATGAAATGGATTCTAACTCTACTTAGTTCATATATATACTTAGGATTAGATTAGGCTAATTAAGTAAGCTTAAATCTAATTAATCCTTCTCAATTTTAAATTGATTAATCCTAATTAATTTAGTCTGAATCAAATTTTAATTAACCTTTCCAAATAGTTTTAAATATTTCAATTAGCCTATTTAACTTGTCAATTTCTGTTTACAAATTCATTTGGAATTTCAATTTCTGATTCAAAGTAAGCATTCTAACAGATTTTTCATCATCAAACAGATATACACAAAATTAAACACACAAACATGCAAATTCTCTTAATAAAATAATATACAAAAATGATATGCGCGTTGGGCTCATCACACCAGTGTCGAACACAACTTAGACAAAATTAAAGTTCATAGGTTGAGATTAATGAACAAAATTCAAACAACCCTACTTCAAAACAACCAACAAAAAATTATACTAAAAGGATGGGCTGAAGGGTAGAGAGGTGGCGTCGGATGAGGCAAGGAGCGGGAAAGGAGGAGAGAAGGTTGGCATTGGAAATGGTGAGGCTACTAGCAATGGGGGGTTGTCGGTGAAGAGGAGCTGTTGGAAGAAGAGTCGGTGGAGGTGAGGGATCCAAATAACAAGGGTATATTTGGAATTAAGGTGGGAGTTAAAAAAAATAAAATAATAATAAAAAAAAGCATTTAAGTAGGTAGGGGACTTGGGATAGGTTTTGTGCCTTATTGCACAAAACACCTATTGTGAAGCCCGTCAGGGTATGTCCTAAGTTTATTTTTATGATCCGAATCGTTCATATTATAAAATTTGTCAAGTAGATCATATATGGAAGAAAAAAAAAAAAAAAATTAGATCAATTGGACATCCATAACCCCATAACAAGACCACATTTGTTTTAAATAAAAATAAATGGCAGGTATAGTTTTGATATTTTTTTTAAAAAAAAAAAAATTAGGATTGATCATAGGGTTACGTATGTCTGATTAACCTGATTTTTTTTTTTAATGAATAATATGTCTTACAAAAATTACAAAATAAACAGTTCAGATTATCGAAAAAGGCTCGGGATACACCCATACGGGGCCTCACAATGTGGGTGTTGTGCTATAAGGCACAACACCAATCCAATTCCGTAGGTGGGTGGTTTGAGGGGCAAAGAAATGAGTCCAAAGAAAAAAATAAGTTACTATTAGCAGCACTCTAATTTATGAGAAATAGTTTTTAAAAAATTTAAAAAATAAGTTACTATTAGCAGCACTCTAATTTATGAGAAATAGTTTTTAAAAAATTTATACTTTAAAAAAAAAAAGAAAGAAAGAAAAAATCACATATCGTTTTTACACTACACAATTATACTAAAAAACTTTTATTTACAAAATTCACTACTACATATGAGATGCAAGGTCGAACACCTTTTTTTATTTGTATGGTATTATTTAGGTTTATAACTAAAAAGTCAAAAAAATCTTTATAAATTATCTCATCACTCTTTTTATTTTTTTTTTATGTATATTTCATACAAAATTAAAAAATTAATTGAAATAATTAATTTCAAAACAGAGCTATAGTGGATCCTAAGAAAATGATTGGCATGTTTCTTGCTACCTTTTTTTTTATTACTTTTAAATTACTTAGTTGATGTAACGTTTCAAAGATTTATTTATTATTTTTTTTTTTTTCTGTATTGAATATATGAAAAAGAAAGACGTTAAAACATTTAAAAAGACCCATCAAAAAAATTTTCAGCGCTGATAGAGACCCCAATGGGGTCACCTCCACGACCCCCACTGGCACCCCATTGGTCAAAATTATTTATTTTTTTTTTTCTTTTCCTCTAATCACCAACCCCATGCGGGGGGGACAGAGAAAAGGGGTCAAGGGCATTTTCCAAATTTTTTTACCCACCAAAAACAAAAAACATTTAAAAAGAGTACTTCTTAGCGTAATAGTTGATTTATTTATTAAACCACGTTAAAACGTAAAAATTTTAAATTTATTTAAGATAAGTCTAGAAAAGATAAAAATAAAATTTTTTTTTTTTGGTAACATTTAAAATTGAGTCAAGTTTTAAAATATTTTTAGAATTTCTACTTGAGACGAATTTACAAAAAAAAAATAAAAAATAAAAAAAATAAATAAATAAAGTAAAAAAAATAAATAAAAACAAGTTTAAAAAAAAAAACTGGCGTGTAGAAGTTTTTGCCAAATGAAAAGTTTGCCAGTCTTTTTGGAAGACCAGGATGGGCCTGGGATTGAGCTCTCCTTGGGGAACATGGTTACATGGTGGTGCCATTCTAGGCAGGACTACTGTCAAATGAATCAAGTTACTGAGTTCGATGAATGTTTGACTCGTTAAAATTTGTTTGTAATCAACTCGTTTAAATTGAGATTGAAGAACTTACTATTCAACTCGTGTATATATATTTGAGGTATCAGATACATGAAATTTGGGTCAAAATTCAAACTCAGATAGAAAAATGAGAACTTGAGGAGAATAATAAAGCCTACCAGATTAACCAAATGAAATATAACTGACCGGTAATGCTAGAGGTATCAAAAAAAATTTAACAAATAAATGACCAATTGTCTCACCACACCCATGTGAAACATTTGATTATTTATTTGGTAAAAAATTTGAAGCCTATAACATTTTCTTAAGGGATTCATCTTCAACAGTTGCAAATCAAAATTACAAGACATTATCAGCCAACTAGATCAGAATTTCAAACCTCAAAGTTCATAGAGAAAGAACTCACCACATTTCCAACGCATTAGCAAAAATTTCAAACGCTCGGTCTCATCACCAATAAAAAGAAAAGGAATGTGCACTTCATTCTGTAAATTCAGTACCTAAGTATGGAACCATTTATAAACCAAACACTTTGAAATTACCAAACCTGAAGGGAGTTGTCTGAGAGGTTCTATCTACTTCCTTGATGTATGTATACACAAATTGACATTGTTCACGAGAGTTTAATTAAACAATCTGCTTGAGCATCAAGCTCTCATTTCCTAATTATAAGAATGCAACTAATAGACAATTAGCTCTAAATGCTTTAGAAAAAAGGAAAAAGAATAAGAAAATGCATTAAATCTTATCCTTCCCAAATAGATCATCACTTTCTCAATTAAGATGAAAAAAGAAATGAACTAAAACACATCCCCAAACTACGTTTTATTAAATAAAAATTCCCACGTCCAAATGAGAGATTCCAATATCAGAATCCTGTATTTTTACAGCCCTACATTTTCACATCGATTTCTTTTCTAAAAGAGATTAACAGCCCAAACCATTAACATGGAAAGAGCTCAATACCAAAGTGAAGAATTCACTTTGATTGTTCTATTAATTCTCTACGAGAGTCTAAAATCCTTAGAACCTAGCAATTCAAAACTCCAAAATCCAAGTGATGGATTCAGTACTAGATCGAAATTCCAGTGGATTCAGCTTCAAGATACTTGCACATTCTTTCCATAACCTCTCTACCCTTGGCACTATTCTGCAGGAACTTCTCAACACATCGTTGCTCTATCTTCTCTGCCATTGATGCCAGAGCTGATAGTGGCTTAATCCTTATACTAGTCTCTTGCTTGCAAATTGTCCACCCATTTGGATTATCTGGGTGAGGGTCATACCTGATCTTTTCCTCCACTTCTATAAACTTCTGGAGACTGATGTTGCGGGTGGACAGTTGCATTGACCGGGATCGGGCATCAACAACTGTTGATTCAACACAGTGGCAGATTTCTTGACCAACAATTTTATAAATGAACCACGGTCCTGGGGTATGGATAGTGATGGCACGAGTGGTGTAAAGCTTCCCTGCTTCAGGGTCAAGCTTGCGGTTCAAAGTGTCGACTTCAAGGATATGGGACAAAACCCGCTTGTTCTCCGGCTCAGAAAACTTGCGCCAAGATGCAGAGGTTACTCTCTCCCATGGGTGCTTGTAGGTGTACTCTTGTGCGTATGCTTTAACCATCGTGTTCCTCTTCGAATTCTTCAACTTCACAAATAAGCACTTCATTAATGTACGGGTAAATGTAAATATTCATGTCTTATTTCTCTTTCTTGTTTGGATGTTAATAGAAATTTGGTCAATAAAAGGAAACACTGGAACGAAATACAATGGCCCTGTTTGGTAGAACTGTGGGACAGTGCTTATAGCTTCTTATTTCTCTTTCTTGTTTGGATGTTAATAGAAATTTGGTCAATAAAAGGAAACACTGGAACGAAATACAATGGCCCTGTTTGGTAGAGCTGTGGGAAAGTACTTATAGCTTATACCTTAACAACTTATAACTTATAACTATGAACATAAGCTGATTTCTGACTTATAAATTAAGCTTCTCCTGCCCCACTCAAAGAATAAGTTGATTTCTGACTTACAAAAAGCTATAAGCTATAAGCTTAAGCTAAACCAAACACATCAAAATAGCTTAAATTAAGCTGAAAGCTGAAATAAGCTGAAAAAAAGTTGTACCAAACAGGGCTAAACTTAGTTCAACAGATTTTTTTTTTGCCAATGACATTTTATTTTCCAAGTTCTGGGTAAAATGAAGAGCCCATTACAATTTACAACTTAGAACTAGGAAGTTCAACATATAAACCTAATTCTAATGTGCACAATAATGAAACAATAACTTAACTTTGTCAAGATTAGGCCTCGTTTGGCAAGAGGCTATTTTAGCCAATTAGCCAAAAAGTTACTAAATTAGCCAAAAAGCCAACAACTCATACCAAAAAGTCAAAGATTCTCTTTTCTCTCTACTTTTTGCACATCTTTTCGTAATTAGCCAAAAAGTTATCCCAAACATACAAGTTTTTTTTACCTACCTTTCTAGCTAAATAGCCAAAAAGTTACTAAATTAGCCTGTTCCCAAACGAGGCATAAGGATATCTCAATTTCTGTCCACTTGAAGACAACTGAAACCATTAGTTTGGGCCACCAAAAACTTTGAATTAAAATCGAAACAACTCATTTTAAGAGTAGATAGCGATAAAAACCATATAGATAAACCCCTCCCTGATTAAGATACTTGAACTTCTAGAACAATTGCATCCCTCTCTCACACATGCACACTGAAAAAACTCAAGAAATCGTCTGTGCAATCCTAAAATGCATAGTGCGCAAAACATCATTAATGGTGATCTACCCAAACCTTTAACTAAAACCTAAGGATTGGAGTCCTCAGTGCTGCTTCAAATGTTAACTGTATCTTCTGCAGGAATGAAGTGGAAACTGTCACTCATGTGCTGATGTGTTGCCCTTTTAGTTGGAGAGTTTGGCCCAATGTTATCAAGTGGTGGGGAATATCTTGGGTGCAGCCGGGGTCAGTGCCTGGCCTTTTGCAGTGGTGGGCTGGTTATAGATGCAACAAAAGGGTGAAGATGCTCTGGAAGATCATTCCATTGGCGGTGCTATGGTCTTTATGGAAGCAGAGGAATGGAAGTCTGTTCAATGACACAGGCGGATTTGGAAAAGTTGTGTGAACTTATTAAAATACAGATTGCACTGTGGTTCAGAGCTTCTAGCCCTTTTTTTTGCTACTTAGTCAATGATATTGTGTTTAATTTGCAGAATGTAAAGTTCTGCATTATGCACTGATGGGGTTAGTCTGAGGTTCTTTGTCTGCTACTGATGGGAGGGTGTATGCTGGTATTTGCTGGTTTATGCTGCTGTGCTGGGTTTTGCTGAGTTCAACCCATTGGTTCCTCAATCATAGTTCTGGTTAATTTGTTTTCTTGATGATGTCTTGCTCTGGTTCTTGCTGCTTCAGAGTTTTGTAGATTTGGTTTTGCTTAGCTGTGGCTGCAACTTGAGGACTGGTGTTTGGTTCTGGGCTTTCCTGCAGTGACGTTTTTCTGGTTGCTTAGCTTTTCAGATTGCTTGCTGGTTTTCTTTGTCTTGCTCTGTTTGTTTGTTGGTCCCTCACCAACTACGAGGTTGGAGCTTAATCTAGCTCCAAACTCTCTTCTTTATTGATGTAATTTATCATATTTTGTATGTTTGCCGATCAAAAAAAACCTAAGGAAACCTATAAAAAACAGTAATTTAACGGCCAAAAAGTACTTAACTACTAATATACAGTAACACACATACATATGTCTATGTACACCTATATATTCATCTCTTCCAATCACATAGAAATTGAAATGATGGGGAACCCAAATGGGATATGCGTGTTCCATAATTGAATCACTAACAGCCACTGATTTACACACACACACACATCGATATATAGATAATTATCATGAGAACCAGTGAGTTAAATCATCCAAAAAAAATTATAGAAAACAACAAATTTCTAGGGCAAACCGATCCATAACCATCTCAGTTAATTCATACATACATGAGAAAACGAAATCACAACATTATGATACTCAATGAAATTGAATTAGGGAGAGAGTTTAAAAGACGATTCTTGATCAACGTACCTGTGTTCGCAAGGACTGATGAAATCGCCGTACAGATCGCAGAAACAGAGAGAGAGAGAGAGAAACTCAGAGAGGCGGCCTATGTATGTATGTCATGGTCAAACTGCTATGCGATGCGAGGTGGGTTTGTGCGGAATATGTTCACCCTAGGGCCATGGCGACTCTTAGACCTCCACGTGTCCAAAGCCTCTAAAAAAGAAAATTACAAATAGGTTTGCTTAAATTATGATTTGTCCTTTATAATTTTAGAAATTACATACCGTCCTCTAAGCCTCCGTTTGGGAAGTAGGTTAGCTTTTTGGTTTTTTGATTTTTTGACTATTTTTGGGGTTAAAAAGCCTGATTTGAGAAGGACTTTTGACTTTTTTGACTTTTTTTGTGAGAGAGGAGTGTAATGATTATGGGTTGGATTTGATGTTTTGTTTTTTGTGACTAAAATAGCCTATTTTGTTTTTTGTAGCTATTTTAGCCCCTAACTCACCAAAACCAACTTCCCAAACTACGCCTAAAATTTCTAGTTTCATAATAAATGGTCCATTTTATTAATAAATCATCAAGTCAATTAATAATTTTTAATGATATCAAATTTATTTTAATTAGTAATTTATATAATTTTATCATTGTATAGGAGAGTAATTAAAATTTTTATTTTTTCAGTTAATTCTATTAAATAAAAAAACCTGACAATGAGATATTAGTAATTTTTCAAACTAGAAGATGTAATCCATAATTTAAACAAATATCAAAGAGTGTATTTATAATTTAGGGGTACTTACGTATAGGTCCTAATAAGTGGACTTATTATCTAATAGGTCTTATGGAAAAAATTTGTCATAAAAAATGTCACTAATTGTAAATTTTAGTGACAATTTATAAAAATCAAAACAAAAAAAAAGTCACTAATTGTCAATTTTTAATGACATATATAAAAAATTGTCACAAAAAAATTATTTTTAACAACAATTTTATCAAAACTTATTTACAATAGGATTTGATAGGAATTAAATCCAACTATTAGAACCTATTAGTAGTTTACCCTATAATTTTTATCCTTTTGAAACTAGACTCTTATTTTCAATGTCAATTAGTACAACACCAACCCAGGAAATTTTATTTATACCTAAAAAATGTTTAAGTAAGTCCAATTTTTCAGTACTCTATTAAATTATTTAGGGTTATAATTTATTCTTAATACACCTTATTTTTTTCTCCCAAATTACCCTTTTGAGGTACATCCAAATAAAATAAATTAAAAAATTCAAATTATATTAAAAATCATTTGAAAAATCTTTTTTTATTCACGTGCATATGGGAACACGACTAAAGAACCCAACACTGATGAAAGAGAATGCTAAAGAAGAAGGAGATGGTGAATTTCATGTTCGGACTTTCAGAATCGGACAAAACCGAACAAAGTAATTTGTCCGATTCTAAAAGTCTGAATAATAATGGCGAAAAATGGATTGAGTATTCACTTTTATGTAAAATAAATATAAAATCAATAATTATACTTTGATAGTTATGTATATACTTACCTCCTCTTTTATGGGTTACTTCAAAGAACTATTTTGATTAATACTCTCATTCATTGTTTGATTTTGTTCAAATTTTCTTTTATTTGCAAGTAACAATATAACCAAAACATAATAACATTGATGATAATTGTGAGTTTTGGTGGTGTACGAGCAAGAAATATTCTTTCTCGTATAATCCTGTTGATCAAGTTTGCGCTCCTCCGTACGACGTCGCTTTACTCCCTGAAAACACAAACGTGAGCTAGCCGGCGGGTGTGTGCCGGATACCTCTCCGATGCCTAAGTCAGCAAAATAGACAAATAGACAAAAAGTTCTGAGTCTTCGGGAATTAAAGTTGTGTTACCTCTCCATAGGTGATGTTATGAGCTTTTATAGGTTCCGTGTGGCACAATCCTAGTAGGACTCTTACTCCTTCATGTAAAGTCCTTCTAGGAATCATATTCCTGAAAGATAATGCTTATCCTTCAACACCCCCTCACTGCTTAAACCAAGTGAGATGGTTTTACCATGGTTGGATGTTAATACGACCGAGATAACATGGCCACGCTAAAGCCGCAGACTAGACCGAGCTCCAACTAGCTCAGTTCTTTCTTTCACTGCACGTGTACCTCGATTGACATATTCCAACTGGGTTGTCTGAAACCGTGCGATCCACAATGAGCTTGGACCGAGCTATCTAACAGCAAGGTCCTAAGCAGAAGCCAACATACTTCGGCAGAATATGGTATGATCGAGCTAACTATCTCTACTCCGACCGTGGTTATTCTTGGACCGAGCTAACACTTGCGAGGTCACTTTCCATACCTGGACCGAGCTAACACTTTGACTGTGGTCCACTTACTAAGCCCTTCTTACTATGGCCCATAGAACGGTCCATTTCCCAGCTCGGCCCAATTTACATATAAATTACCCTCTCAATTACCCCTTAATTCCATCTGCGCAGTATGATAGGGATTACCTGTTACCAGCCGAGCTAAAAACTTTAGCCGTTCAACCGAGCTAAATTCATACCGTGCTAGCAATCTGTCCGGTCAAAACGTCTCTTCAGTCACTATAACTGAATCGATTTCCATTCCAAGGACACGTGGCAAACTCTGATTAGCCCAACGCAGCTGTCACGCCGTCTTCGTATTTCGCAACTTTTGAACAGTCCCGCATTTTTTCCTTCATTTCACACAAAACAAACCCTTTGTTCTTGAATAAATCATTTCTCTATTCATCTCCCTCTTTCTCTAAGCCTCCATTTTCCAAGTTTTTTCTCTCTTTCTCACTGCAACTGTAGAGCTCGTGTTCTTGCTGCCATCACTCCTTTCTTCAGTTCCTCCATCTTGAGCTGGTAAGTAGTTCAAATCTGTTTCCTTTTCATTTATTTCGTATTGTTCTTGCAATACATAGTTTAGTATTCATATGTTTTCCAAAATACATACCATGTTTGCTTCTATTTTTCTGGGAAAAACCACGTAATAAAAACCATTTGTATTTCACGAATAATCTGAGAAACACTGTATTTGATCCAAAATCATACCCCAACCGAACTAGGATACTATTTGTATGAGGCGCAAACCTAGCCATACCTAACAACCGAACTAAAACTTCACGCCATACTTATAGCTTTCATAAGTTAGGGACCCTCTGCTTCTTTTAACCGAGCTACCGAACCGCACTAAGTTTGCGCAATACCGTGCTAGAAAGCCTCAACCACCGACCAGGCTAAAACTTAGGGCTAAACTAGCTCCCTTAGTTCAGACTGAACTAAGAATGCTGCCCCAAAGATTTAACCGGGCTAAGGAACCTTGCTCAAAACCGGGCTAAGAAGGGGTAGTGGCCCACGTAGCCGAGCTAGGACTTTTATTTTATTTTTTTGCCGTTGTCTCTTTTAGCACGGTCCAACGATCTATGTTTAACACCTCTCTTTTTTCACTTTGCAGACTTAGGCTGCCAGGCACTCCTTTGAACGCTCGACCGAGCTACTGAGCGTCCTTTCAAGACCGAGCTAATACCCCATTTTTTATTCATAACTTAAAACCTCATGGGTAAATATAGATATCTGGTAAACACCTCAGGTGCTATGGCCGAGTTCGGAAGGAACTACCATATCCCTGATGATGTCCACCTCACCCTAGCCAAGCTAGATATCATACCTTGGGGAAACCCTGGTTTTGTTCCTTTTACCTTTCTTTCCATTGTAGAAACAGGATTAAGATTCCCTGTGTAGCCTCTTCTCTGTGCCCCACCCAGCTTTCCACAAATTCATACCGTATAATAAATGGTATTGTCGAGCTAAACCACCGGGCTAGCCTTAACCTCAGTTTAGTCGAGCTTTTCCACCAATATTCCTTAGGTTCAAATGAAGATGGGTGGGTTTATTATTTAAGAATAAGGCGCCGGCGTGAAAAGATAATAAAGAATATCCCGGATAAAGATATGAATGATGATGATTTCCTTTGGGTATTTGGGAACTTTGAGGACCAACAAGTCCAGATCCCGGGCGATAGAATAAATTTGAACAAGGGTGTAGCCGGTAGGACTACCTCGGCTTTATTTGCATGCTTTTCTTTACTTCGGTTTCCACTTCCTGAACCGAACTAACCGCATTTTCCTTACTTAATGCAGATTTGAACTTCCTCAAGTCTCAGTACAGCTACCCAAACTTAAACATACTTCGTGCCGCACTCCGATATCCAAACAGAAGCTGGGCCGAGCTATTGAATTTCGAACCAACCTACCGATATAGTAACCGCAGGAAGACCAGAGTGATTGATTTCCTCCTTGAACCTTCGCTAGAGCTAGATCCATCCTTGCCTCAAATCAATCTCATCCCACTAACTGCCGAACAAGAAATGGCCAAGAAAAGAGCAGTGAGGGCCCTTCTAACCGAAACAAACCAAGCCGAGGTACCACCAGCAAGCCAACCACAAGAGACCGTGGTGGCCTTACCAACCGCTAAGCCCTCATCATCTCGTCCAAGCAAGCGTACTCAGACTTCCATAACCGAGCCATGCCTTGTCGACGATGATGAAACCGTGGTGCCTCGAACCTCTTCACCAAGCCTCCACTTGAGCGCTCAGACCAAGCTAGCTCCTCAAAGTGGGTACCAAAGATCACATTTCAGAACCGCGCTATCATGGATTCTGACTCAGTGGTCGCAGAAAAAGACCACTTGATGGCCTTCAACCTTGCTAAAGGCATTTGCTTTCCAACCGACATAAGGCACCACGACCACCTAACCGAACTGAAGGCCCTTCGTTCGTCCACAAAATCAATGGTGCTGGTAAGTTGCTTCTTCGCTTATTTTTCAGAAATTCTTACGACTTTTGGCTCGGTTTTACTGAAAATTGTTTTACCATCCTTTTGCAGGCTATACAAAAAAATCACATCGCTCACAAGTGAGTGTTGAAACTTCGAAAAACCACCAAGCAGGCCATGGCCGAGGCTAATGAAAAGGTGGCCGAGCTAAAAGAGTCCCAACAGAAGACGGCCGAGCTAGAGGCCGAGGTGGGTCGACTCACCGGGCTAGTTACCTCGGCTAATGCTGATAAACAAAAGGCCCTGGTCATGATAAAAGATAAATATCTGCGCAAGCTGGTCAAGCTTGAAGGAAAAAAGAATGCCGAAATAAC